AAACACAAAACTCGCAGCAATGTTCCTTGAAGAAACACAAGGTTCTCATGCGCTGTTGGAAGATGTTGGAAGACCCAAAAGTCCAAAACACAATTTTGGTCACTTGTGCCCTTGAAAGAGACCCAATTCCACAAGAAAAGATGAAGACTGCTATGGAACACACAGCCAGGGCTGTGGATTTGTGTCGCATCCCAGCAGTTTCAAAGGGACCAAAGCGAAACCTTTTAACAAATTGGAATCACCAATAAAACACCAGTTGGTCCCAGAAGTCAGAAACTCTTTATGTTGGTCAGGGGTTCGTCAAAATCGTCAAAAATTCATCAGGGGTTCGTCACAGGTTCGTCAAGTTCATCAAAAGTTTGTCAGACAGCTGGGAAGGGGTTGAAAACGGGAGTGGAAACAACTTCTCTTTTTGATTTGTATGGCAAAACAACTTATTATGTGTTGCTCCCCACCTGCCAGGTGAGGGTCTCTAGATTCTATCAGAATTGCTCTCTCCTTCTCCTCCTTCTCCTCCTTCTTCTTCTCCTGCTCCTCAACCGCGAGCTCCAGATGTCGGTGGGCACTGCCGGACCTCAGCCGCGAGCACCAGATGTGAGCGGGCACTGCCGGACCTCAACTGCAGATCACAGCGGGCACTGTGGGACCTCAATTGCGAGTGCAAGATGTCACATAGCTGGCCAGATTGAGTGTCGGATAGAATGTCAGATAGAATGTCAGAAGAGATGTCAGATAGAATGCTTGATAGAATGTCAGAATATATGTCAGATCGAATGCCATGCAGAGGGAGCGTCAGAATATATGCCAGATAGACTGTCAAAATATATGTCAGATCGAATGCCAGATAAAATTACAGAATAGACATGTCGAATTTCAGTTGGTGGGGATCACTCGAAGTCTCGAAGAAAATAATCTATTTCGAAGGACAAAACAACCTCTTTTGCCCTAAAAGAACTCTCCGGCCCTTCTGACGAGCTCTTGACGAACTTGACGAACTGTTGTCGAACTTGCGAACCTTTGACGAACTTTTGACGAACCTCTGACGAAGCTTTGACGAACTCTTGACAAACATGACGAACTTTTGACGAACCTCTGACGAAGCTTTGACGAACTCTTGACGAACTTTTGACGAACCTTTTGACGAACTTCGAAAACTTTTGACGAACTTGACGAACTTTGACCATTTCTAATTTCTACGAACTGTCACGAACTTACGAGGAACCTCTGACGAACTTTTGACGAACGTTTGACGAACGTGGCGAAGTTGTTTAACACATGTCACAAGACGCCTTTCTAAATAGACTGGACTCATTGGACAAAACGTTCAATGTGATAAAGCTATTGAACTTGCGAAATTTTCCGGAAAGTCACACAAGTAGATCAACTTCTGATAAATGTAGCAAAGATTCTGAGTTTTTAACCATCCATACAGTGACAAACTGACGAGTTGGGGGCGGCCAAACCGTGGTTGCCTGCGTACGAAAAAACCTTTCAAAAAATCCGTAGGTGAAGAACTGGTGTGGATGTCAATTTCACTTCAAGGTTTCTCCCCGGGACAACAAAAAATCGGCTACTCCACGCTCCAAGACAACTGACCACCTGAAGCCCAACCGAAAAGTACCCTGGATACTCCACGATTTTTGGGGTCACATGGCAGCTGCAGAATCTTGTCAAGCAACAAATGTTCTGGCCTTCTATTGGTGCTATGCCTTCGCTCAGCCATGAACCTCAATAAGTTGTTGGGCAATTCCCAATGCCAATTTTTCATTGCCGGATTTTTGGTTTTGAAACTTCAAGCGAGCTGACCCTTTGGCTCTTGTTCCCCGGCGCGCCTTCAACAAACGCATAACCCTTGCACTTTCGCTCCGATGACCTCGGCATCTGAAGCCGGAAGTCGCCTGTCACGGAGCGCAGAAGATCTTCCATCTCGGATTGCGAGGTTCTTGCTGGCACATTCCTGGCCCCGTTGTTGAAACGGCTGTGGATACTATCGATAATTCACGATTTGGTGTGCCCTTATGGCATTTCACGTCTTAACATGATTTAACAAGTATGGTTTGAATATCTAGACATTTTTCATGGATATGATGGGATTTCAGGCGCAGCACAACACCGTCAAAACATCCGGTAACTAGTGAAACTAGTGCCCGCGCGTGCCAGGGCCGAAGTTTCGGAGAGCAATGGCTACAAGAAAACCATGGAAAACAGTGGCCTAGGAATGTCTAAATGCAAAAGCATTTAGAAAGATCGAGGTTGTGAGACGCATGAAGTCGCAAATGTTGAGATGCCAGCTACATGACATAAAATCATATAAAATCAATGACCTGAATGATCCGCTGACTGACTGAATGCATTATCAAGGAATGCATGAATGAACATGCATGAATGCATGCATGCAGGAGTGCACGAATGCATGAATGCATGAAGGAATGAAAGGACGGATGAGTGAATGAATGAATGAATGAATGAATGAATGAATGAATGAATGAATGAATGAATGAATGAATGAATGAATGAATGAATGAAGAAGGAAGGAAGGAAGGACGGAATAAAGGAACGGAGGAATGGGTGGAAGCAAGCAAGCAAGCAAGCAAGCAAGCAAGGAAGGAAGGAAGGAAGGAACGAAGCAATGAAGCAATGAAGCAATGAATGCATGACTGCATGAATGCATGAATGAATGCATGAATGAATGCATGAATGCACGACAATAAAATGAAACGAAATAGTGGACATGGCAGGACATGAAACGAAATAAAGTGAAATGAATTGAAAACCACATGAAATCGTGAAAATCGTGAAACTCCACTGGTATGATGTGTGATGACAGAAAAGAAAACAAAATGATCAAAATGCAAAATGCAATGAACTCAAACACCAGGAAAAGAAAGTGACCGGAAATAACATGACATTCTAATGATTTCGAATGATTTCGAATGATTTGACCCTGACTTGATTTAATTACTTGATTTCGAATGATTCCCACCCTGACATTTAATTCTGGCATTCTATCTGACATATATACTGACAGTCTATCTGACATTCTATCTGCCATCTATTCTGACATTCTCTCTGGCATTCTGTCTGACATACGTTCTGAAATTCTATCTGGCATTCTTTCTGGCATTCTATCTGACGCATATTCTGCCATTCTACCCGGCATTCTATCTGATATATTTTCTGACGTCCTACCTGACATTTCTATCTAGCATCTATTCTGACATTCTATCTGGCATTCTATCTGGCATCGATTCTGACATTCTTTCTGCTATTCTTTCTGGCATTCTGTTGGCATATATTCGGACCTTCTATCTGGCATTCTATGTGGCATCTATTCTCACACTCTAGCTGGCATTCTATCTGACGTACATTCTGAATCATTCTGACATTCTATCTAGTATTTCTATCTGGCATATATTCTGACATTATTTCTGACATTCTTTCTGGCATTCTGTCTGACATATGTTCTGACATTCTATCTGGCAGTCTTTCTGGTGACATATGTTTTGGCATTCTATCTTGGCAGTTTTTCTGGCATTCTATCTGACACGTGTTCGGGTCCAGGCGTGGCCCAGTGTTCGGGTCAGGCGTGGCCCACTATGGTGTTCGGGTCCAGGCAAGGCCCACTGCACCCGGAGGAGGCGGGGAAGAGGAGGAGGAGGAGGAAGGAGTTGCACCTGTGTAAAAATCTAGAGACCCTCACCAGGTGAGGTGGGGAAAAGATAATGATTTTGAAGCGAAACTATGATGGAATTACGAATTGTAAATAAAATCAAACATGAACATAAAATGATGACATAAAATGGAAATTGCCTGAACCTGGGACTGAAAATGAAAATCAAACGATCTCAAAATAAAAATCAGTGACGTTGACAATGAAAATGAACACGAAAGCCACCCATTCCCTAAACCAAGTCTCTCAGCCACCTCTTCACTAAGTTAGCTCTTCACTTTTTCACCGTGTGCCCGAGTTTTCTCTTCTGAAGCACCTCTTTTCTCAGCCACTTCTTCTCCGGGCTGCCTCTTTTCTGGACTACTTCTTCTCTGACCCGCTTCTGCTCTGAGCTAACCCCCCTTTTTCAGCTGCTTCTTCTCTGAGGTCCTGCTCTGTGGCTTCTATAATCCCCTTCCCCCTCGCACAGCCATTGCAAATATTTCAACAACCTCCAGCTGCAGTCCCACATGGCACAAGAATGGAATTATGTTCAAAAACTATCCCGAGAACTTCTCGCAGCTGTTTCAATGCGTTTGGGAACCTCGAGCCCCAATCCCGCATAGCAGCACCGTCGCAGCATCTGTGAGACTTTCGTGTGCGCAGACGTGCCAATGCATTTTGTCAGCTCCCATGTGGCAGCACAAAATCGACCAACGCGCGCGCAGCAAACACGCTGTGGACCTTTCCGTGTCGGACCTCCTCAGTTTATGAAGATGTTTTCGGCAAAACAAGCTTTCGCTCCAGTCTCGTGCGCAATTTATTTTTTCTGAGCTTATCTCCCGAAAGTGGTCTGATATCCTCGTTTTTTGCAAGCATGTTTTCGCGAATCAAGCTTTATAGACCTTGCCTTGGCGACCATTGGAGCCACCAAACCTAAAACACATTGATTCGTCGTCCAATATTTCATCAGCAAATTCTCACGCTCCTAGACTGTTACTTTGATGTATTGCGTCTACTTCTCAACTACTGTTCTACCTATGTGGTTGACATGCTGACATGAAATCTGACCATGGGCATTCATCCGTACCTCGGAGGTCTTTCTATCTAACTAAACTTCCTCTTACTTATACCAAAGAAAGAACATACTTTGGACGACCATTCAATAGTATTCAATTCGACCCTAATCCAGTCAAACACCCCGGTCCGTATCATCATCTTCGAGACCCCATTCCAGAGAGGACTGAGTGGATGAAGCCCCAGATCCTCATTCCAGAAAGCCACGGGCTGATGGGTTCCCACGATGGAAGCTACCACCGGCACTGCGGTTTCCTCGGCGGGTGGCCAGAACTTGCAGGGGGGGAGTTCCACCCTCTCGCCACCAGCGCCCAGCTCTTCTCGCAGCACTTGGGACCCTTGGGACCCCTGAGAAGTCCCTTGCCACAACTCAATCATTGGCAGAATATGCTACATGGCAGCAAAAAGAAGTGGCTACAGCTGCTGCAGCCAGAAATTTCATCAGCTGCGGGAAAAAACATGTGTTATCGGGTTTTAATATGTCATGTAATGACCATTGCAGGGTATTGGGGAAAATGAACACATTACGTAACCGACGTCATCCATCAGAGACAGCAAAAGATCCGATCCAGGCATGTTCCCCTCGGCCTTAAGAGGTGCGGCCAAAGCGCCTTGCAGAGCCAAGACAAATAGCACTCGGAAAGCAGGAGCACTGTAGGAGAACCAGGAAAGCCGCATGTTTGAGCGTTGTTGCTCACGGTGCTTTATCAGAAATGAATAGAAATGATAGATTAAGAATGACACATAGAGACGATATAGATTTAACAAAATCATAAAGATAGATCAAGATCGTGGTTCACTGTCAGGCACCCAAAACTCAGCCGGTCGGCCTCCACCTCAGATGGCAACAGGCAGTGGCAGTCCGGTCGACCGCAGAGCCCGCCGTTGTAGACCAACTGCATGAGGTCCTGGAGGATCCCCGCTGGATCCTTGATTTCCCATGATCCAAAAAATTGATGAGAACTGGGGGTACCATTGATGACTTAGAAAACCACCAAATAACTCAAGTTGGTAAGGCAAAAATGTGAAAATCCACTGGGGTTGAGCAAAATCGTGAAAAAATGTCAGACCATTTTTTAGTCGGCACCCGCAGGTTGAAGGGGAAGTTCAAGAGTTTGCCCTTCAGGTCGCCCAGTTCCATGTCATTTCTAGAGGCCTTGGCTGTGCCAGCAGAAATTGGACGTGGCAACGTGACATGCTGCTCCGAGAAACCAAGGCTTTTAGCCGTTGCTCGCTGTAAACGGTGCTCATCAGCAACATTTCAGCGACCTGCATGGCTGCAGCATGTGTAGCTGCGTGGCTTGTGGAACTTCTATGATTTTCTGACGTTCAGGGGGCAAGTGACATGGACACGAATTTATATTTGATAAAATGGGGATGGGTCAAAGCCGACTATTCCCGACTATTGCCATGTTTGGAAGAATAACCATCCATTAACAAACTATTTTATGTGAGAAATGTGCATTTTGGATTCTGGTTCCTCTTGCATACATGGGTCACAACCACAAGGCTCGCATCATGACGTGCAGTCACTGTCGCCTCCACCGTTGGGAGAAAGAGGCCAAATTCAAACCAGTACCTGGCTCCCGGACATGGTCAAGTGGGCGATTTTCACCGACCACATCTTTCATATTCTATCGTCATGATGAACACCGCGGAAGTGTCGCGTCTGTCAAAAGTGTGCGTCTAAAGTGCGCGCGTGTGTATGTATATATATATATCATCTATGTATATATATATATGTATATATATATATATCGTATACAGATATATATCTATCTATCTATCTATCTATCTATCTATCTATCTATCTATCTATCTTTCCATCTATCTATCTATCTATCTATCTATCTATCTATCTATCTATCTTTCCATCTATTTATCTATCTATCTATCCATCTATCTATCTATCTATCTTTCTATCTATCTATCTACCTACCTACCTACCTACCTATCTATCACGTGTATATATATATATATACATACATACAGTATATATATATATACACATATACATTCATATGTGTGAAACCGCTGAGTCATCCATTCGATTGTGAGCTTGGGGACAACAGTTGTCTTGACAGCTGCAAGGGTGGACGTGGCTCAAGGCCCAACCGCAGGAGCGAAACGGGGAAACAAGGTGCAATAGCTCCAGTGTGTGGCATCCTGGGGTTCTGGGACTCAACCATTTCTATCTTTGGTGTTTGTCGACATCAAGGTGAAACAGGATTACAGGTCAATCATTTCTTCGTGGTCAAGGAATTCCTGGTGGGCTACCAGTGGACTGGCAGCCAGTTACACATGTCTATATTAATGAGTGTGTGTGTGTGCGTCTGTTTCTCGCGACAAAAATTTCTACATCAATCAATGAATGTCTCGTGGGCACCACTGGAGGATAATGACGGAGAGGTCCAGATGCATCAGATGGGCCAGCAGAGTACACCAGTTTTTGAAATGTCTCAGTGCCATCCTTTCCTCAGATCTGATGGCACCACCACAGGTCTGCACCAATGCCTCACAGGGAAAGCAGGTGGCAGGTTTCCGCAGTTTCCGCAGTTTCCGCAGTTTCCGCAGTTTCCGCAGTTTCCGCAGTGCGAAATGCTGAGTCAAGACTTAACTTAGTGAAATCCAGTAAAATCTTGTCTGAAATCCTGTCTGAAACGTATAAATATTGGAGTAGAACCAACTGTTTTTCAAAAGATCGATGGGTCGCACATTGAACTGACTTTCTGGGGTCATCTTCGATGGCCACAGTGGGTTCGGGCGACTTTCCAGTCATTGGAGCCCATGGTTCGAGTTGATTCCCCAGGGGAAACACCACTTTTTCGGTGGAGGAGCCATGACAGATTGCGTGCTGTAGGTTTCTCGTTTCTAAGATGTACCCTCTGGTAATTTAACGTAGCTATTGAAAATGGTCATTTATAGTGGATTTTCCCATTAACAATGGTGATTTTCTATAGCTATGTTAAATTACCAGAGGGTAGTCAGCAAGCCTTTTGGAATGCCGAGTCATGGTTCAAACCAACTCATGATATTCGCCAGGATCGAGTTGCTCAACTCATATCTGGTGTCGGGGATCATGAAACCACCGGCAGTAGCAACATCCTTCAGCAGTTTCTCTATTCAAATGGCCATGTAATGTCAAGCCTCGATTCATGTTGACACTTTTTAATGGCTACCTATTGGCTACCCTAAAAAATAGTGATTTCATGTGCAAAATTTGATACACCGATACACCCCAATGATTACCAGCCTTGATCTTCAGCATTTCTTCTCGCGCTTCAATCTCAGAGAGTGGCTCCCTGACGGCACAGCGAGTTGTGTCGCGCTTGCGGCCCGGGGGCTTTCAACAGTCGTGGAAGTCACGCCTGCTTCCACAGATCATCAGCGCCAAATGGTTTACCTGGCAATGCGTTCGAAGAAAAAAGCCTGTTTGAACTCTTCAGACTTTACAATCGACTGATGACTTCGAATTGACAAAACCGTGATACCGACTCGACGACCACGTCCTACCTTTGAAGTCGGCAAATCTCCCAAATTAGAATCATCAAAGAATCGGCCTGCTCCACCCCAAGAATTTGGCTAATCTTACTCTTTAATAATAAACCACCCATATTTTGAGGGTTTATACCACCCATTTATGGTGAATTTGGAGATATTGCTGATATTATCTCCACATTGCTTGAAGAACCAAGAATCATCCAAAACGATTCGGAAGGCCACCTGCTCCGGCAGCATATCAAAGGATGCATCCTCCCCATCGGCCCCTAGGACGTCAGCCACCACAGGGGATAAGCCCGTCCTGGCCGTGGCTGTGATCCTGCCACAAGTCCAATCCCAACCATCCCAACCTTAGCCCCTGCTTGGTCGATGATTTCATAGCAGATCAAAACACTGTTTGCAATTTTTCCTGAGGATTCATGACGGGTCGACAACTGGAACCCTTTCGGGGATGCCGCCTTTTGCACCCATTGAAGCCGGAAACCAGCTCGAAGACGTCAATCTTGGGACGTATTCTCCTTGCATCAAAGGTGGGGAAATCTTCTGGAAACACCCGATTCTTACTCTGCAATTCTGAAAAATACTCAATTTGGATCAAATAAAATGCCCAAATTCTACTCTAACCCAGCTAGAACACCCAACCGGCCCGCTCCCGCGGTCAAAGGCTAAACCTTCCCATAGCTCGACACGAGTGATGGGTTCCACCTCCAGTTGGAGGATCATCCCGCAGTCCTAGTGGTTTAGGTTCCCTGGGAGTTCAAAAACTAAATCGGATAACCCCAGGAATCCCGGACTTACTCATGAGTAATCATGCTTATGAATCACTGATCCAAGGGCTGAGATGTTGCTCTTTCTACACTTGGGTGTGTTTTTGAAAATGGAGTATACAGTATACACCAAGAAGTCATCATGTTCGTGGGAAAGTGAGGATCAACCATCCAAATTGAAGTTCGGCTAGCCGATTTCGAGAAACCTACTGAAAAATCCGATCGAAAAAAATCGAAGCAAGCTGCAGAGGATTCAGGTTGACCCTTTATCAAAAATGCCTTGACTTTCGGGCATCCTCAGAAAATCCAAATTGAAAATGGCAATGCCATCGTTGCACCAACTCCATGGCTCATGCCTGCACCGCTGGCGCCCCAGCCGCTGCCACTGGTGCCACTTTCTTCTCGGACTTCACCCTCTTGCGCCCTGCACGGCCTAGTGCGGTGCCACTCTCCGAAAAAAAAAAAAAACATCCATGCTAATACACATACAGTGTCCATACATAATTACGTATGAAATACAAATATGAATGTACATATTTATGTATGTACTACGTACGTACGTACGTACATGCATGTATGTATGTATATGTATATGTATATGTATAATGTATATGTATGATGTATATATGTATATATATATGTATATATGTATATATGTATATATGTATGTATGTATGTATGTATGTATCTATCTATCTATCTATCTATCTATGTATCTATCTATCTATGTATCTATCTATCTATGTATCTATCTATCTATCTATCTATCTATGTATCTATATGTATCTATGTATCTATGTATCTATGTATCTATGTATCTATGTATCTATGTATCTATGTATCTATGTATCTATGTATCTATGTATCTATGTATGTCTGTCTGTCTGTCGGTCTGTCTGTCTGTCTGTGTATGTATGCATGCATGCATGCATGTATGTCTGTATGTATAAATGTATGTATGTACGTAGGTAGGTAGGTATGTATGTATGTGTGTGTGTGTCGGTATGTGTGTGTCTGTCTGTATGTGTGTGTGTATATGTCTGTATGTGTGTGTGTATGTCTGTATGTGTGTTTATGTGTGTGTATGTCTGTATGTGTGTTTATGTGTGTGTATGTGTGTGTGTATGTGTGTGTATGTGTGTGTGTATGTGTGTGTGTATGTGTGTGTGTGTATGTGTGTGTGTGTATGTGTGTGTGTGTATGTGTGTGTGTGTATGTGTGTGTGTATGTGTGTGTGTATGTGTGTGTGTATGTGTGTGTGTATGTATGTATGTATGTATGTAATAATATATGTATGGGGCCGCAGGCTGTGGCGTCAACATGGAGATTACGTCTACGCCGAAGAAAAAAAAAGAGAGCTGTAATGTTACTATCTGCGGTCTATGCTGGCGTTTTCTGTTTTTGCATATACATGTGTGCAATGTGAAAATATTGTGTATGTACATCGTATTTATACATACATACATACATACATACATATATATGTATATGTATATGTATATGTATATATATATGCTCAGCCCCCCCCCGACCCCCCCAACACTACAAAAAAACTTTTTGTGCACTGGCCGTTGAGTGTCTTCATGCGTTCAAGCTTGCAGGAACCAATCGTTTAACCACTGCAGCTATGAACATACTGGGTCTGAGGATCAAGACTGTGTGTTCCAATTTTGAAATGTTCGGCCATGTCCTAGATAATAACCTTAGTTTCATGCTATACTTTGTTGAAAAACATGTTGCATAAATTGGTGGCACACTTTGCTGAAGTAATACGACCATCTTCTCAAGCATTATTGCGTCATCGATGGAATCTGCTGTAGACTCATGTTACACTTTCTTGGAGGGATGCTGCACAGATTTGCCAAGAAACTATTCACATTTAAAACTACATATACATACACCTGTATATATTATATATATACATACACATACATATGTGCATCTTCAAAGGAAGGCTTTCCTTGATTGACACAGATTTTGCACAGTTTGCAGTAATATGTTTGTTTTTCGAGCAAATGCTGCACTAGTTTGAAAGAGATATTGTGGTAATTGTGCTACTGCACTCCTTGCATAGGCATGTAGCACTTGTTTACATTGCCATAATTTTATTTGAATAAGTTTGCTTTAAGATTTAGGATTTATACTTACAATTTGTTTTGCATTGTTTGAAGCCATATTCTACTTTGTCTACAAAGATAAGATATTGCACATTTTGAAGACCTTTTGAAAGTTGAGTCACATAGCACCCTTTTCAAAACAAAACAACATTTCCATAGAACAGTTGTACTCTTTGAAAGGCCATATTGCAGAAGGTGGTGCAATACTTGCTTTACAACAAAAAAAACACATATTTTTCAACAGGCTTTTGCATCATCAATGGAATCTACAGTAGGCTCTTGCTACACTTCCTTACAATAATGCTGCACACTTTGCAAACAAGAATCTGCACTTTCAAAGGTAAAACACATGTTTCAATGAATGTGTCACTAAAATGGCACTCTTTTCAAAACCATGCTGTAGGAATTCAAGAATAGATTCAATCTTGCAAAACAGCATTCTACATTTTCCTACAGGAATGCTTTGATTTCTGAAATCATTCAGTACATACATAGGAGGGTTCTCCTTGAAATTGGGAAGTAATGCTACACATCTTTCAAAGAATGCAACAATGTTTGCAGAAGGTTGTTGCATACATGGAGGAATGGTGTTCTTTATGCAAAGTCATTTTACAAGTTATGTTTGCATGCCTATTTTCCTTCATTATTTATAGAGAACATATTGCATAAATTGGTGCCTGTTTAAAAGGCACATTTCTTTTAATGCTACTAATCTTTCAAACAGTGCCACACTTTTTGCAAAGGGTTGTTACATTGGGAATTGTATTATTTCTGCAAAATCATTTTACAAGTGCAGTTTGAATATTTATTTTTCCTTCATTGTTTATAGAGAACACATTGCATAAATTGGTCCCTGTTTAGAATGCACATGTCCAAAAGAACTATTGCATATGTTGAGGGAAACTCCTGTAGAGATGTAGAGTCTATACATGTTTAAAGCAATGCTACACTCTTTGGAAAGGCATTTGCACTTGTTTGTTTTGTTGTGTTTATTTATTATTCATGCTTGTTTTGGCTGAAACTATGTATCTATGAAGGACATTGGGAGAGCTGTTGAGAATGCACAGTGGTTACTTTTGTTACATAAGCAACAATGTTTGGTTTTGGAAAGAACAGGGTTTGGTATCTTTTGCAGAAATGAAATGTCAAAAATGCAAAAAAAAATGCGCTCACAACACCCCCCCTCCCTTTTTTGTGTGTGATGATCTGAAACAGCGCTCTCCCACAGCCTGCCACTTTCAAAAAAAGGATATTGGCATCTCAAATCATCCATGGGTGGTATATATATATATATGCTCAGCCCCCCCAAAACAAAAAACTAAAAAAACAGAGCCATGGGGATTGCAGGATCTCCAATGGGTTTGGTTTCTTTGGATTTGTTGGTTTTGTTTTTTTTTGATTTCTCCAAGGGGCCCTCCCCAAAGAGTATCCAAGTATTTTTTGTTGGTTCAATGATTTTGTTTATTCTCTGCCAGGGATCCTCCCCGAATATGCACAAATAGCCGCAAAATGTGAACATAAAAAATGAGCATGTTATATTGTAAATCACAGTACAAACAGCATGTCGGGGGGTCGTGGGGGGGTGACCATATATATATATATATCATATATCATATATCATATAATATATATATATATATCATATACTATATGATATATATGATATATCATATATAATATATATCATATACTATATGATATATATTATATATTATATATATATATCATATATTCTATATCATGTTATATATATATATATATATATATCATATATGATATACTATATATTATATATTATATATTATATATTATATATTATATATATTATATATTATATATTATATATTATATATTATATATTGTATATTATATATTATATATTATATATTATGCATTGTATATTATATATTATATATTATATATCATATATTATATATATCATGTATTATATAGAATATATCATATTATATATATCATATATTCCAGTATTATTGTATATATATATTGTATATTGCATATCATATCAAATCATATTATATTATATAATTATATAATATCAATATTATATATATAGTATACATATTATATATAAGTTATATATGTGTGTAGATATGCAGGTGGTACCCGTTGCGCCTCTCGCCAAGCTTTGAATCCTCAACGCAGCCTGCTCTTCTCGAGTCAAGGCATTGGCCGCATTGGCCGGAACCATGCCTGGTCGCGCGCTGCCATGAGGTTGGGGCGGTTGGGGGGTGAAGATTAGTTTCCAGGGTCGATGTTGACCTAATGGCAGGGGTGATTGGGTCATTAGTTGCCATTAGTTGCCATTGAGTTTCCACTGATTTTTGGCCATTTTCAGGGTCGATGTTTTTATAGTTGAACAGTGTGGAAGATCAGGTCTGAGTTGACAGGTTTCGTTCCCTTCCAGAACTAAAACCCGGGAAGTCTGGGGACTTCCAGTCCCATGGCTCTTGAGCCACGGAGCCGAACATTCCTTGAGGTTCAGCGGCCCAATTGGCAAACTCCTTCGACAGCTCCAAAAATCATCTGTGAATCATCTGTGAATCCTTTACAAGAAAATGTTGCTAACACTACTCACCAACTAAGAATTTCACTTCCAAAATTCACTTCAGAATAGTCATCAAAAACAGTGCTGGGGGATGCGCATCGTTGAACATCAAAACCTGCATTTTTTTCGATGATTGTCCCATGAAGACCTCGATTTTTTCCAGAGGAAAAAAAAAATGCTGATTTTTCCAATGTCCCTCATCCCCCATCATCCTCCAAGCTCACGGCTCCGTCCTGCGGTACTGGGCAAATGGGCATTCAAGGATTCTAGCCATGGAAATTTCTGCAGGTCCCAGAAAATATCCCATGAAAATATCCATGGGTCATTAAACGTCCCAATTGAACATCACCCAACCATGAGGTGTATCATCTATAATGGCCATTAAAGGGTGGTGTCCAATATCCCAAAAATGGGACATTTACCAATCCCTGATATCCCATCATCCAATCCTGGGAGTTGAAATTTACAACATTCTCTGTGAAAATTGGCGAAATTTGCCACGTCTTGGAGAAAGTTTGAGAAGCCTTGACAAAGAGTCAAGCGCTTGGACTCTGCAACCATCTTGGCTAAAGATGGCTAAAGTGTACTTCCTGCCACTCATTTGCTCCAAAAACAATTGAAAGGATATGTCAATCCTGATGGAAAAACACAAGCCAACCGGCAAGAATTTCCACATTCTTCCCGGTGTTATTCAGTTCACAAACCACCACCCATGACCGTCCCCCAACGGTACACGACTCGCACCTTGCTGAGATCTGCCCCAGAAAAAATGATCTCCAAATCACTGTGGCTCAGGGAAGGATCCAGAGCCATCATCACCTGCCGCAACTCCTCCTGACAAAATGGACGTTGAGCCAACGGGGACTCGGAAATTTTGGAGGACTCGGGTGCGACGTTCACATGCCGAAAAATTCCACAGGGCAGGTCTTGCAAATGATCGCGAAAAAACTGCGACGAATGGTGGCACCAGCAGTCCAGCCGCCTCGCTAATGGTCCCATCCCCATTGATGTCAAACTTCTTGAACGCCGATGCAATGGCTGCCTGCAGCTCAAGTTCCTCTCCGGAACCAATGGGTGAGAATCTTCATACGAAGTATACCGAAGATGTGTAAGGAAAACATCGAATCTGGCTGAATAATAATGCACCAATCTGAAATAAGGATCAATTTTAGGTCATTTTTGGGATGATTCTGAGCATAGTCGATGTCCATTGTGAGGTTTCCATCCAAATCTTGGCGCCTTCTTTGGGCCCTCCATGACATGACGTCACCAGTCCATGGCCGAGGCCACCATCCGATAGATTCCACCGCTCCGATCCGCTGCGCAACGCGAACAGAAAGGTTGGACCCTTGGACCCTTGGACCTCTGCAAAATCCTCCAACCAAAAACCTGTGATCTGTGGAATTGCCGAAACTGACCTCAAAGCATCTATGGCTGCGGGTCACTGGCTGGATAGACCCACAGAATCTCTTGTTTTAAATATGAAAAGAAACGATTAAAGCATCCATTCAACCATGAAACATCGTTAAACCATTCATGGATTGGAGCTTTTTGAAACGACTCGCCAAATGATCCCGAACTCCGAAAAACTCTTCGGCCGCCGGTTTTGAACCTTCACGCCGTCGCTGCTTTCCGGACTGAAGCCTCGGAGCAGTTCGGGGAGGTTGCTATTTTCAGTGGGGTTACAAGCTATTGGGATAATCCACTTCGCGGACTGATTAAGCAGGCTTAACCAGTTGCGAAGTGGGATGATCCAAGCAGGGCTGTTAGGGCTGTTAGCCAAAGCTGCTGACTTTTTGAGATGTTTGACCCAATTCTGCTCCGTCCAGATTTCTTCATGAGAGGTTTAACAAACTGGAGATGGTTCCTCAGGTTCAAGGTTGAATCTTCTCATTTTCTTCCATTCCCTCGGGGCGTCACGGTGCCCCCAGCAACCCCTTGGTGCCACCAGCCATGGATCATTAGGACATGGCCAAGATGGAAATGGAACAGGATGCTGCCAGTCATGTAAGTTGTTTCAGAAAAACCCGGTTTTTCGTATAGACATATTATAATCGATTTACCTCATTTACCATGGTTGTTGGAGTTATTTGCACCAACAAAACAATTCAGTGGTCGTCACTAAAAAAACTCTGGTAGACATGTCCATCTCTGGTCCGTCTGCGTTGAAGCCCTGCTGCAGCAATCCGACGGTGTCACCGTGACTGAGTGGCAGGCCATCCCCACCCAGTTGCGCTCCAAGATAAGGTGCACAGTTCGTCTCATTCGATTTGCAAGAGTCTATGTACAAATGTTTAGATAAATTGATGGTTTAATAAGTTCAATAAGTCAATGTCTCAAATGTTGGTCAGAGTCTCATCCCAGAGTCTACAAGACACTCCGCGAAAAAAGTCGAGGCTTCCCGAGCCACAGCGACCTCTTTTGGAATAATGCGATGTCGGCAGAGACTGAGTGAGACCCAGCTTGCAGCTCGCAGGCTCGTTTCTGGCACAGCAATGTCTGAGGCCCATCAGAAATAAGGGATTACATCAGATTACTAATTAATCACCATTAATCACCATTAATCACCATTAATCACCATTAATCACCATACTCACCATTAATCACCATTAATCACCATTAATCACCATTAATCACCATTAATCACCATTAATCACCATTAATCACCATTAATCACCATTAATCACCATTAATCACCATTAATCACCATTAATCACCATTAATTCACCATTAAGCACCATTAATCACCATTAATCACCATTAATCACCATTAATCACCATTAATCACCATTAATCACCATTAATCACCATTAATCACCATTAATCACTATTAATCACCATTAATCACCATCAATCACCATTAATCACCATTAATCACCATTAATCACTATTAATCACCATTAATCACCATCAATCACCATTAATCACCATTAATCACCATCAATCACCATTAATCACCATTAGTCACCATTAATCACCATTAATCACCATGAATCACCATGAATCACCATGAATCACCATGAATCACCATGAATCACCATGAATCACCATGAATCACCATGAATCACCATTAATCACCATTAATCACCATTAATCACCATTAATCACCATTAATCACCATTAATCACCATTAATCACCATTAATCACCATTAATCACCATTAATCACCATTAATCACCATTTAATCACCATTAATCACCATTAATCACCATTAATCACCATTAATCACCATTAATCACCATTAATCACCATTAATCACCATTAATCACCATTAATCACCATTAATCACCATTAATCACCATTAGTCACCATTAATCACCATTAATCACCATTAATCACCATTAATCACCATTAATCACCATTAATCACCATTAATCACCATTAAGCACCATTAATCACCATTAGTCATCATTAATCACCATTAATCACCATTAATTGTTCATAAGTTGACAGATGGTAAACACCCTTTAGCAACCCTGTCGCAGTGGATCTGTTCAATCTGTTCGGGATTCGGGCAGGGCGCTTTTGAATGATCGTAGGCCGAAAGACGAGCCAGAGCTTTATATAAATGAGCCCAAGTAGCCTTAGGCTACAGAGCCATCAGCCATCATCTGACTCTTGAAATTAAAATAGACTGACACTAAACATTCAGCCCTGCAGAGATGCATGAGCCAAAGTCCACCGAAGGCATCCGAAGGCAACAGAAACTGCGGGAATTCAGGTTGAGTCTGACTGTTCTCAAATTTCAAACCTCTTGGAACCAAAAAGAACACCCTGGTCTCAGCATCAAGTTCGTCTCTGCTAAAGCAGTTCCACTATGATATAAGTAAGTGGTATAACCACATAGGAGTTACATCCCAACCTATAGTGAGGTACCACCATGGTTTTACTAAACTTATAATACACTCATGTTTTTCACCCAAGTGCATCTCCAAGTGGAAATTTGTCCTTCGCGTTTCCTCATCAAACACTGGGAAACTCCAGCAATCGGTCGGGTGGCTCCTTCGCAGGTGCCGCCATGGCACACGTCAATTTCTAAACGCTTCCAATAAAAACATAATCATATGGAGATCATATATCATTCCATCCATATCAAATACTGTATGTCCGAAAGAGCAATCTCAAAATGCATGGATCCAGAAAAAGAATATCGAAAACCACAATTTGTAGGATATTTTTTTGGGGCGATTCAATCCACCAGTAGTGTGATGTTCGCGGTGCATTGCTACATCATGCTACATCGCTGCGTGGCCACGCTCTTCAAGACTGTCCCTTCTTTCACGGATTCCTGGAAAGTGCAGTCGCCCCTTAGTGAAGCCGGCGAAGATCTCTGAGACTCAGGAGAGAGTTTTTCCGCTAACAACCACCTGCGGAACTGTGGAATTTACAAGTGTAAGGTGAGGTGCAAATAGGTGCCAAAACTTGCAAAATGCAAGGACTTTTGGCAAGGTGGGGTGTAAAGACATATCCACTGCACTCACCCATGTCATGTCATACTCAGTTGGATGTGTAGTATCTGTTCTTATCAGTGTGACAGTCGATGCATGTCACAGGTCTGCATAGGCCACTGCGCAAGGATGACACGCCACTGGATGGTGGCTCAAGCAACGCAAGAGGAAAAGGCAACTGTGGTAGCAGCTTTAGAAGTGGGCCGCCGTGTTTTGAGAGGGCGATAGGATGAGTCTGGGTGAATTCACATGCATTTGCCTCTCACTTCCATATGCACTCATTGCGTCACCACTTTGCTTTCACCACAGCTGCCACATGCGCTGATTGCAACCTCTCAAATTGAAGCCATTGCCTCCATGTCGTCAATCTGACGTCTGACTTCTTCTGCGGCATCGTGGTCGCCCAACTCTTCATAGCGCGTACTGTACAAGAAACAAATTGGGACGCACAGAGAGAAAAAGCATGTGTTAACACTTACGCTCATGCTAGTGCGTTGCAAATCTGCTTGCAAAACATCTGCGGGCAGCAGCAAAAATTTCCGATGGCTGGCCCCACTTTTGGGTCCAAATCTGGACCCCAAAACGGGGCCCAAGCAAAAACCTAAAAGAAGGAATGAAAGGGGATCCAATTCTGGACCTTTTGGGGTCCATATTTGGACCCAAAAATGGGGTCAGCCATCGGAGAATTTCGTTGCTGCCCGCAAATGTTTTGCAAACAGATTTGCGAGCCAGCAGCTTGAACATGAATGTCAACACATACCTTTTCTCTTTGTGCGTCACAAGGCCGCTTGCTACTGTCGAGGTCTCTCTATCGCAGCCATGTTTTGAGCACTTTTTTCGGCCCTGTTTTAGGGGCCATGATGAAGCAGGTTTGTTGGCATTCGAGGCGCTCCGAGGCTCACCGAGGCCTGCCCGAGGCCAGGCCTCGGACGCAAAACGTAATGGCGAGGACAAAGCGAGGCTCACGGGGACTCGAATCGAAAATACACGTCAAGACTGAATGAGCTGAAACCAAAAAGCGCTGGCGATGATTAAGCCATCGATCTGCTTTCATGAAAGCCTGCAGTCCAAAAAATGAGGACATGGACATATGCCCCGTGTGGGATCTTAACTTCAAAGCACATGCAGATTTTCGTCCCCGATATGTTCCGTCTCTCTTGCGAAATTAAAGAACATACTATGTGGCTGCCACGGTCTCACCTCCATGTGATCCTGCATTTTTTCTCCCGATAGTTTTTGCGCGGGCTCAGAACCCCCACACCCCGGCGGCAATGCTGCTGTGGAACGCTGTAAAGAAGCATATGACAGCTTCAGTCCATCTCACACTGACGCTTGCCGCTGGGGAGCGGGCGTATTCAAGAGATCACTTAAAGCGGCAGGCCCAATATTTCAAAAGCTAAGCCCGTGGCAGGCGCAGCACTTTGGCAGCTAACAATCCGGTCGCAGGTACAATATTTCAGAAGCAAACATGCCCACATCACAGCTTAAGCCCGTGGCAAGCGCAGCATTTCAGAAGTAAACAACCACACATCTCAAATATTGCAAACAAACATGGCCATCTCACAACTTAAACCCTGACAACTCCGGTACTTGACAAACAACATGGCCACCTCACAGTTTAACCTGGACAGCTTAAACGCTGGCAGGCGCAGTAATTCAGAAGCTGACATGGCCACTGCACAGCGTAAACCCGCAGGGTTGGCCACCTCACAGCTTAGCCCGTGCAAGTTTTTGAGAAAAAACGTGGTCATCTCACAGCTTCAGCCGTGGCAGGGTTTAAGCTGTGGGGTGGCCATGTTTCCTTTTGAAATACTGTGCCTGCCAAGGTTTGTGCACAGAAAAACCTGCCGTGTAGTGCCACAACTGGCGGCACTA